TTTTGTCTTTTTTGAGACAGGGTCTCCTTGTAGCCCCAGCTGTCCTGGAACTCACTATGTAGACCAGGCTGGCCTGGAACTCAGAAAGACCCGCCTGCCTCTGCCTCTCGAGTGCTGGGATTAAAGGGGTGCGCCACCATGCCCGGCTCTTTCATTTCAACTTTTAGACAATGTTATGATGTTCTTACACAGGAACACAGCACAGAAATGCTTAGTAATGTGCTTACGTTCATAGAATGAGATTCTGGAATCCACTTCTGTTATGTGAGGTTCTGTTTTAATTTTGTGGTGCTGGGGGTGGAACCCCAGACTGCATGCATGTGAGGCAACTGTTTACAGCTGAGCTCTGTCCCTCACCTTTACAGGATGGTTTGATAGTCAGATATCTTAGTGGGAAATACTTTAGAAATTATTCCCATTTAAGTATTTTCTCAAGTATTTAGCCTGTTTTTCTTCTGTTTGGAATGGAAAGAAGAGGAACTAAATGCTTTTTTTGTGTGTGGAAGAATAAGAATAGGACACAGACCATTGATTAATAGCTCTGACTTTTTAAAAATTGTATTTAGTTATCTGGATTCTAAGTGAATTCCTTGAAAGAAAATTTATTTTTTTTTCCTGTTTGTCTTTCTCCTTTGTATTTTGCTGAATGAACAAATTAGGGTTTTCTTTTTATTGTATCATTACCCTTTTTTGTGTTACTGATAGTTGACTATTGCATAATAAGTGAATTTAGTTACTAGTTAATTCATTAAACAACTTTAATGAAAATTAATGAGCTTCCTGGTATACATGGGAAATAAATAACCACTTGCATGTAACTGATGTTTATTCTTTAAAATGTAGGTGAAACCTGGAGATGACTTGGAAAGTGATCGATACTTAATAACAGTTGAGGAGGTTAGAACTAATGGAATCGTAGCTGGTACACAGGACAGCACTAAAGAGAGACTAGAATCAAGTTCTGGATGGCGTCTCTCTTCTGGCCGGTCTCTTGGATGTCAGCCCTGCGGTTTAAAAAGGAAGGTTACTGTACGTTTCTATGTGAAAATTAATATTTCAGTGTATATTTACAATTTCAAAAACAGTGAATTTTTATGGTATTTTGCTGTTAAGATCGTATTTCATAGTTTACTTAGGTAGCAAGAAAATAAATCCTAGTTCGAAAAGTCTTATTAGCAAGCGTTTTTTGTTTTTTTTTAAATTTCAGTAAACTTTAAATATTCATTGTTTGCCTTAAAAGCCACACATTTGTTGTTATTTATAGACTATTTCATATTTTATTCATAAATAATGGTATAACAATTACTTTAATATTTTTAGGGCTTTCAAGGGCCACGTAAGAGCCATAAGAAAATGGTTGTTACAGAAAATGGTGAATTGGCTGCCTCACATGGTGATGTGACACCTTGCTCAACTTTTTCTCCTCCATTATACAGTAAGCTTCCCATGTTTTCTGTTCTTGGCAAGAAAGATATAAATCATATGCCAACAGACGCTGAGACTATCATCACTGACAGGAACAGAGGGAGAAGTGATGTGCTTTCTTCACTGCTCTCCACTTCATCCTTCAAGATGAATTCAGAACCACGAGATGAACAGGAGTATTTTTGCTCTCTTGTGAGTTCTAGAAGTCAGCATTCAGAGTCTTTACTGATCAATGAGACCATACAAAGAAATAGCTTGCCATCTCACTGTCTTGGAGTTTCACCAAACCTTAGAAGCAAGGAACAGATACTAGCTCTCCTGAAATCCAAACCAGCCAGCATGCAGAAGGATCTAAATTCTGAGATCACAGGAAATTTTCCTCAGATGAAACCACAAGGAAGTTCAAAGATTATTACTAAGCCAAAGGAAAAGTGTGCTGATACACAGAACACAGGAAATTTACATTCTGAGCTCCAACCAGAAAATGCCACGAGGAATACAAGTCGGTGGGCCTTGTATTTACCTTCCCAGAGTTCACCTGAATGTTTTGCTGTAGATGGGAATGGTACAGAAAGCAAATTTGAAGCCCAGGACGATATGAAAAATCTGAATATGACTGAACTTTTGGTGCCAAAAAAGGTACAGCTCTTTGAAACATGTGCTGAAAAGGGAGCATGCAGTGAAGACAAGCCAGTGGATAACAATAGCCAATCCAGGAATCAGGACATAAACATAGACATTCCTTTATTCTGTGAAAGCAGCAGCTCCCTGGTTAGCTGTAGTAGTACAAAAAATACTGATTTATTATTAGAAACTGACATTCAGAATAATAATAGAGCACCTTGTAATCAAAATGACAAGGTGTGTATAGAAGGATTGGCTTGCATTAGAGAAAAGATTCACATGGCCAATAGATGTGGAACACTGGAACGGGAGTGTCGACCAGTGTCATCCTTGCCAAAAATAGAAGATACACAAATTGAATCTTCTCTAAGTAGCAACTCTAGGATCTCTGACATTGCAGACATGATTTCTAAAAGTAGTACTGATAGAGAATGTTTGAATTCTATTCATGAACCTTCACTGCCATTTTTAGAGGTTTCTTTTAATCTAAGCAATTTTGAGACCAGTGACACTGATGAGGAATCAAGAGAAGATAAGAAAATTTTCCAGGCTGCAGAGAGCTGGGAAAAGGAAGTTTTGCTTGCCAATAGTAATTCATGTGTCCTGAAGAGCTGTGAAGGTAAATATTGTCAAGAAATTGCAGGTAAACATTTGCCACTCTTAGCATTTAGTGGTGTCAAGCCTGAAGAAGTGTTTCCCACCAAAGAGAATCTGATGTCAGAATTCTGTGATAGAACCTGTGTGGGTTTTAATCCGGGACACTGTGAAGATGGAAACTTGGGAAAAGCAGTGGAGGAGCAGTGTGGTAATTCAAAAAGCAGTTTGGACTTGACGTTAGAATGCACTGATGTGCCTATGGATAACAAAGAACGTGTTGATAACCCTATCAAAACCATTGGAATTAACTATGGCATTGCCTCACCTGCAAATGAATCTAAAGGTATAAATACTAATTTACATAGTCCTCATATTTTAAAAGAAGTCACTAATCAAACACCTAAAAACAGTGACCTATTTTTAGAAAATACTCAGCCTTCTATTTTGAGAAATCATTTAGACAAAAAAGAACAAGTTTTATTACCAATCTCTTGTAGTCAGGATCACCCTGAATGTATTGAACTGGATAAATCAAATACCCGAGTTTCGAGTTGCTTGTTTTACCCTTTGGGGAAGAAATATTCTATATTCAAAAACACTGAAGCATATATTCCTGAATCTCAAGAATTAGGAAGGATTAGCAGTTTACCATATGACCATATTGAAGTTGAAATTCCAAGAAGCAAACAATCTTGGAATACTCGTAGGACGTCTTCAGAACTTTCTGAAGTAATAAATAACATTTCCCTTTTAAAGTCACTGTCTGAACATAACACAGCTTTAGAAAGCTTGGCAGCAGTGAAGAAGAAAAGGAATGCCTTTCAACAAGCTCAGCAGACGTGTGAGGCAGATAGCAGTCCTGAAGGTTAGAATGACATGTCTATTTTAGATGACTTGTTCTCTTTGTAGCTCAAACAATGAGAAGATATTTGTTGTCTACAACATTAAAGGATTACATATTGGTAGTTGGGTGTGGTGGCTCATGCCTATAATCCCAGCAGGAGAAGGTAGAGCCATGATTAGGAATTCAAGATCATCAACTACATAGTGAGTTTGAGGCCAGCCTCGGCTACGTAAGACCCTGCCTCAAACAACTGGGGAAAAATTACATAGTGTAATGGATGCATTTGATGAAAACATTTTTTTTGGTCTTTTTGAGACAGGGTCTCCTTGTAGCCTCAGCTGTCCTGGAACTTACTATGTAGAACAGGCTGGCCTTGAATTCACAGAGATCTGTTTGCCTCTGCCTCCCAAGTGCTGGGATTAAAGGCGTGTTCCACCATGCCAGGCAAAAACAATTCTTATAAAGGATAATATAGTGAAGAGTAAGTCTCCTTACTATCACACACACTCTACTCAGAATTAACCAGTCTCCTACAGTGTCCATCCAGAAATATTCTGTGCATATGCAGAACACATACATTGGCACATAAGCAAATATATATGTTAAATATTGCTAATCCAAAAATGTGGTATCTAAATTTATAAACTGTATATATAACCATTAATCCTAATTCTATGTTACAAGAGTTTTCCCATTTCATTTTTTTGTCTTTAATATTTAATTACAAAAATTTTTTTATTTTATGTGTATGAGTGTTATGCCTGCATGTATGAAAGTGCACCCATGTCATGCAATACCCATGGAGAACAGAAGAAGCTATTGGATCCCCTGGAACTGGAGCTACGGACAGTTGTTAGCTGCCATGTGGGTGCTGGGACTCGAACCCTGGTCTTCTGCAAGAACAGTCAGTATTCGTAACTGCTGAGACATCTCTCCAGCCCCATCCCTATTTCATTCCGTAAAGGTTCTTTACTCCCACAGAATGGAAGGGCCCTGGTTCTCAAAATGTCAGTATATGTACTACCTAAAATTCCATGATGCATTTCAAATAATTTCCAAATTGTTATACCAATGTTAGTACTAGCAAAAATCTATTTGTCAAGTTCACAGATCTTTGAATCACTCTTTGTGAAGATGAGCATCTCCTCGATTCAAGCATTGCTTTGTCTTTTTCATGGACTTATTTTTTTTAATATTTTTTTTATGTATATGAGTGTATTGCCTGCATGTAAATAAGTGCATCCATGTCGTGCAATGCCCGCAGAGGACAGAAGAGGCTGTTGGCTCCCCTGGACCTGGAGTTACGGACAGTTGTTAGCTGCCATGTGGGTGCTGGGATTCGAACCCAGGTCTTTTGCAAGATCAGCCAGTGTTCTTAACTGCTGAGCCCTCTCTCCAGCCCCACATGGACTTGTTTTATCTTCTTTGTAATGGATTTTGGTATTTTCTTGATTTATGCATTTTAAAAAATGTATTAGAGATAGTAACCCTTTATGGTATTTGAGGGGTGTGTGTGTGGTGGTGGTTTAGGACAGCATCTTGTGATGTAGCCCTCACTGTCCTGGATTTGCTGTGTAGACCAGGGTGGCACACACTTGCCACCATCTTTCTGTTGCAGATATTTTCTTTGTGTGTAATTGCTCTTTTGACTTGTCTATGATATGTTTCCAATAGCATTGTCATTTTTAAGAATGTGATAGTAAGTCTGTGGATATGTGAAGGTAAATGAACAATTTACGATACCCAAAGTTAAAATCAAACCCTTATTTGAATATTTCAGGTCATTCCTGATAAAAGTATGAGTGACTTAGTATACATTCTAAAAGTCTTTGAAATGTGGTTAAGTTTATTAATAGTTGTAGTTTATTTTCTTGAAATTTAAAAATATGCAAAAATTTAATAAACAAGTAGATGTAATTATATAAACCATTAGAAGAATATAACATTTTGATAGGAAGATTTAGGCAATATTTGTATTTTATTTTGGAAAGACAATTCTTTTATCAAGTTGGAGGAGAAGATTACAGTTGATTTCATTATTTGTGTCATTTGTGATCTGTACAGTGCTTGAACACCAACCTAGTGAACAATGAGTCGTTGATGCATGCAGGGAACACAGGATTAGCTTCTTCAAGCCTCTGGCTGGAACCTTGTCCTCACACGTTGTTTTGTCTCTATTTAAAGACACCTTGGTTTTGATTTATTAACATTGAACTCATGGTTAACAACACTGTAATTTGGGCCTGATTACACAGTCTATAGCATTTTTTTTTTTGGTCTTTTTGAGACTCCCTGTAGCCCCAACTGGCCCGGCACTCACTGTATAGACCAGGGTGGCCTCAATCTCACAGTGATCCATCTGCGCCTCCTGAGTGCTGCAACTAAAGGTATGTGCCACCATGCCTGTCATTTTTTTTTTTTTTTAATATTTAGTTTGTTTTACTTACTACTTTTATGTGTATGAATGTATTGCTTGCATGTACGCAAGTGCACCCATGTTGTGCACTGCCCTCTGAATTCAGAAGAGGGCATCGGATTTCCAAGTGTTTTTAAAATAGTGAAATTACCCACAAAACCCACAGAAATAAGAAAAATTTGGCACTAAATCTAAATGGAAAGGATATTTGTATAGCTAGGCAGGGTGGCGCACACCTTTGATCCCAGCACTTGGGTGGCAGAGGTAGGCAGATCTTCTGTGAGTTCAAGGCCAGCCTGGTCATCTATGTAGTGAGTGCCAGGCCAGCTGGGGCTATAGAGAAACCCTGTCTCAAAAAAACCAAAAAAAAAAAAAAAAAATTTGTGAACAGTGTAAGCTAATATAAGGGTGTTGTCTTGTTGGGAACATGCAGTTTAGTAAACTAATTCTTTACTGTCTTAAAGACTTACATTTATTTTTAAATTGTGTGTGTGTGTGTGTGTGTGTGTGTGTGTGTAGCTTGGAGGAGTTGGTTCCTCTCATCATGTGTGTTCCAGGCTTGCTGGCAAGCTCCCTTACCCATTGAGCTATCTTGCTGACCCATTTTTGACTGTTTTGCGCTTCTGTGAATGAACATGAAAACACTATTGAGTATTGGTTTTAGGGTTGCAATAATCAAGCTTTGGGGTAGTAGGCATAATATGAGTGATGAGGGCTGGCTCCTTTTATTTTTTCCTGGTGTGTGTGTGTGTGTGTGTGTGTGTGTGTGTGTGTATGAGCAAGAGAGACAGAGAGAGAGAAGTGTGCATGTACCATGGTGAACATGTGGAGGTCAGACAATTTTGTGGAGTCAGTTCTCTTTTCTATGGTTATGTGGATCATCTTTGTTTATCAGGCTTGTTCTGCAAGTGCCTTTACTTGCCGAGCCATCTTATTAGCCCGATGCATACTTTGAAAGAAATTAAATTGTTTTTCATAGGACAACTTGAGAAAATTGCATCTGTTGGGATATAACAAATTTCATGGATTTAATACAAAGTTAGAGAAGAAACTTTACTGCCAATTTAGAATGCTTAAAAATACATCTCAGGGCTGGAGAGATGACTGACTGGTTAAGAGCACTGGCTATTCTTGCAGAGGACCTGAGTTTGATTCCCAGCACCCACATGGCAGCTAACAACCATTTGTAACTCCCAGGGGAATTTGACACCCTCTTCTGACCTCCTTGGGCATTGCATGACACAGATGCACTTACATGCAGGCAATACAGTCATACACCTAAAAATAAAATATTTTAAAAATTAAAGTTTTTAAAAAATGTTCATTTACTTTTATTATTTTTATGTATATGAGTATTTGCTTGCATATGTGTACATGCACAAAGTGCAATGCCTGTTGAGGCCAGAAGAGGGCATCAGATCCCTGGAACTGGAGTTACAGATGGATGTTAACCACCATGTGGGTACTGGGAACTGAACCTGGATCCTCTGTAAGAGCAGCCAGTGCTCTTAACTGCTGAGCCATCTCTCCAGCCCACTTGTTTTTTTGTGAGATGATTGAATATAGTTTAGGAAGATGATTTTAGAATTTGATTGTAGAACAAAGGAAATTTAAAAGTCAGTTTGCATTCTCTACCTTTTAAAAATTCTTTGGAAATAGCATCCATTTTTATGCGTGTAAATATTTTGCCTCCATGTGCATAAGTGTCATGCAGTGCCCGTGGAGGCCAGAAGAGAGTGTTCAGTCTCCTGGAGATGGATTTATAGATGCTATGTGGGTGTTGGGAATTGAACATGATCTTCTGGGAGTACCACTGATCCATTGCTCTAGCCTCATTGTAATTTTATTTTGATTTTTTTAACAGGAAAATAATGAATCTAGAACAATTGTCCTACTGTGTATTTTGTATCAGCTATAACTGAGTTTTGAGAACAACAATCAGTTGAAAATTATAGTTGTCTTGTTATTTTAGAAGAAATGTTGAATGCACTTAAACAGTTTTTAAAATTTTATTTTTTAGGAATATTTTTATTCCAAAGAGAGGCAATTTTTAACACATTTTTTCACAAATAACTTGAAGCAGGTTACATAAAAATGTATATACAATGAAGTTTAAGGGTGGAAAAATAGGGATAAGAAATCAAAGACTAAAGTTGGGCATGGTGACACACGTCCTCAATCCCAGCACTTGGGAAGCAGAGCTGGCAGATCTCTGTGAGCTTGAGGCCAGCCTGGTCCACCCAGCAAGCTCCAGGCCAGCAGGGGGTCACAGGTAGACCCTGTCCTAAATTTATATTTTATATGTGTGAGTGTTATGCCTGCATGTGTGTAAGTGTACCTGTGTTGTGCAGTGCTGTCAGAGGATAGAAGAAGCATTGGATCCCCTGAAATAGACAGTTGTTAGCCACCGTGTGGGTGCTGGGAATTGAACCTGGGTCCTCTGCAAGAGCAGCCATTGCTTTTAACCAGTGTGCTATCTCTCCAACCCCTACTGAATGTA